TAGCATAGATTGGTTTTAAATTTTAAGACCTGTCTGTTGCTGTTTATTTTGATGAGCTATTAGTTGAACACTAATGCTGTGCAGAAATGAACCAATTTAATTCTTCCCTTTTTTAAGGGTAGAGAACATGGCCATGCGACTGGAAGAAGTAAATGAGCGCGAGCACTGCATGAAGGCATCTCTCCAAACCGTTGACATCAGGCTTGCTCAGCTGGAGGATATGATAGGAAGAATGGCAACAGCCTTGGAAAAACTGACGGGTATAGAGAGAAGTGAGACAACCAAGATACGATCTAGGACCTCCTCTGACTGTACTGATATGGCCTACATCATAAGGCAGAGTAGCTTCAATAGTCAGGAAGGAAATACTTACAAGCTCCAGGAGAGCATAGATCCCACCGGCGAGGAGTCCATGTCCCCAACATCACCTACAATCACACCCCGCTTGCGAAGCCACTCTTTCTATGCAACAAATATGAAGGAGAAGTGTGGACTGGAAAAGTTTGAAAGCATTTTTAAGGAAAGATCTACGAGCCTGCACCGTGCTAGCAGTTCCCACTCCATAGCAAAAGAAGCGAAGGTTCCCTTAGCCCCTACCAGCACTTTGTCAATTGCTCCAGACTCCAGAAGGCCTTCATCTTGTATAGACATCTACGTTTCTGCCATGGATGAGATGCAGTCTGAAATAGAGCCCCTTGACAGCTCCGTAAACATTCTTGGTACTGGAGACATGGCTCTACAGGCACACATAGCGTCTTCCATCTTAGCTAATAGTACATACATTAGCAGTACACCAGCTGAAAGAATCTCTGGCAGGAGTCTTGATTATGAGGAAACCTCTGGAATAGAAACAAGAGCGTTTTCTTCCAACTATTCACAAATCACAGACTGCCAAATCCCCTGGGATTCAGACCCTCCCTTGTATCACACCTTAGAGAGATCTAAAAGCAGTCGTTTTCTGGCTACAACCCCATTTATTCTGGAGGAAACACCAATTGTGAAATCTCACAGTTTTATGTTCTCTCCATCTCGAAGCTACTTCAGCAGCCTTGGTGTCCCAGTGAAAACAGCAGAGTACACAAGTATAACAGATTGCATAGACACAAGGTGTGTGAGCGCTCCCCAGACCATTGCTGAGAGGGCCAGTTTCCCTGGCAGTCTTGGAGGCAAGGTGGAAGATTTGGGAAGCTGCCACCCAGAGAGAGAAGCAGAATTAAGTCACCCAAGCTCTGATCATGAGGACGTGGAGGCCAAAGACAAGAAAGGGACCCCTTTGTCTCCTCAAGAAGGCAATGCTGCAAGAACTCTCACCAACAGCATCCCACTTCCAAAAATTGAGCGGGCGAACAGCTACTCTGCGGACGAGTCCAATATGTTATATGCACAGCACACACGGAAAAGCTACTCTATCAGTGACAAACTGGACAGACAGCGAAACACAACGGGCCTGCGAAACCCCTTCCAGAGGAGTAAGTCCTCAAGGCCAGAGAGCAGAGGTGACAACCTCTCTATGAGGAGACTGTCGAGAACGGGAGCTTTCCGCAGCTTTGAGAGCAAGCACAGCTAGGCCCAGACCAAGCTCACAGGCAGTCTAGAGGTCATTGGTCATCTGCTCTCCAATCCATTTTCCTTAGAAGAATTAAATAACCCCACGTCATCACATGTCAACTCCAGCTGGTATTAGCCACCGGTCAAGGGACCACATTGTCAGTCTCAGTATTAGTCACTGAGTTACTGCATCTTGACCCAGTTGACATTTGCACTTATGGAAAAAGGGAGGGAGGAAACTTTATAACGACTTCAGTAAACAACAGGAATAACAACCCTCCTTATAAAATCACGAGTAATAATGGTTTCTGAGGCAAAAAAATAGGTTCAGAAATCTTTCTTTTACTAGAAGGCATCATAAAATGCTTGATGATGATTCACAAGTTTTTAGGACCCAGGAATTAACTAGCAGAAAGAGATATACAACTTAGATATTCTAAACTCCAATCCTGACTTCTTTTTCATCTGATTCACCATTGTGATGACTGATGAAAAGCATTTGTTATTACTGTAGAAACCGGCAGCAAGCAAACATAAATTCTCCCAAATGCCTCACATCCTCACACTTGTGAAACTGAAGAAAGATGAACAAGATAAGAACCGTAGAGTTCACTTATCTCTTTTTGTATTAACTTCTAGTGCCACAAAAAAGTTTATATTTTCAAGAGCAGAAAGGGAAATTAAATGCCTTTTGTACTGCAACTTAAATGGAGAAAGAATTTTTGTTAAAACATATGGGGATATCCTGTATAAAACAGGCATTCTAGATTCTAGCACAGCTGAGCAAGCTCAGGATGAATGTAATTAAGCCGAATAGTATATATTTATTTTTTTACCACATTTGTCATCAATATGTTGTCTCACTAAATCAAAGGATGTGATGGAACAGTAAGAATAATGTGCTGTTACAGTGATCAGAGCAGGCACAGCAATATCATCAGGTTCTCACTGCTCTGTTTAATTGCTTATAAAGATTGCAGAGGTTTATCCACCAAGTTGCTACCAGGTTCTTCTTGCTGTTCCATTTGAGCTGCCGATTTTTCACATCATTCCCTCACCCCAAAACATATACCTTTTTTTTCTTTTATGTGGACATGGCTGTATTTGAGCATTTCAAAGTACAAAAGGTTCATCACGCAGTCTGAATTCAGAATAACACACCAGACTGAAGTGGCTTAAGGGAAAATGTTCTTGGCAGAGCACTGGAGAGTTTTAAAAAAGTGCTTTTAAGGTAAGTTGAAGAACCAAAGTGAAACTTGAGGTGTCTGTTGAAAGAAAAGCCATCAGTTGCAAGTATGCTTCCACTGTACAGCAGCATATCACACAACATGCATTTTAGAAGAAGAAAATATATCTTACTTGTAGTGTAGTTATAGGTTTTTTGTTGAAGCTGGTAGCATCTCCACTGACTTTGTCTACATTCCAAGCGCAAAACTCAGTCTACAATGACAACAGGTGATTCAAACTTCTCGTGGAAAGATATCACAGTGGTCAGAGGAGGAAGAGGATGCAGAAGATAAGAAAAAGCTAGAAAAGCATAAATAGCATTTGGATCACAATTTCACATCATCTGTGAGGGCAAAACTTAAGCTTGAAAAGAGTTGAAGCTAGTGCTTTTGTAAGTTAAAATATCTCTAAAATGACCAACAGCTATGCAGAGCCTGGTCCTTTTTCTTTCTTTCTTTCTTTCTTTCTTTCCTTCTTTCCTTCTTTCCTTCTTTCCTTCTTTCCTTCTTTCCTTCTTTCCTTCTTTCTTTCTAAGCACGTGCAACTGGAGTATATCCCATTTATTACCTTACAGATGTCTAAGGCAGCTTTGAAAATGGAGGCTGACATTTTCTCACTAGGATCTCACCTTGGCAGACTCTAAGCACTATATGACTATTTAATGTAAAGGGCAACAAATCCTCACATAAAAATATTCATCTGCCTCAAGACAAGGGGCAAAGAAAGTAAAAATCCCTTAGGCATCAACTCTCTTTTTCGGAAAGTTCATGAAATAAAGAATTGCAACATGGTGACATTAAAGACAACGTGCTTCATACTTCCTGCACCGACGTGTTCCTTTCTTAATTTTGTTTAATCACGCTTTCAATGAGCTAAACTCCATCCAGACACCGTGTTTACGTAATTGCCTTGCAGTCCATGTGCAGCTTTACGGTCGCATGGTGACACTGAGAAAGGTCAGAAACTGTCCCCTTTCTGTGCATTATGAAGCATGTTTGTGACAGGCTGATTGTTGAACAATAGCACAAAGCCCAGGGACAAAGGGACTTGTGTTTAACAATCTGCTTCAAATGTGCCAACTTTTGATAGCAGCCTGTTCCTAAGGCTTCTCCAAATCTATCTTTCCTTGTGGAGTATGGCGGGGATTTTTCTGTGTTTTGTTTTCTTTGTTACTTTTATGAATGTCTTTTCAAACTGTCCATGGGCTCTTCCATCTCCATCAAAGTATTGGCCTATCTTAGAGGAATTTCACATTCGTTAGAAATCCCACATCAGTGATTAGTGGATTACGTGGCAGGGCTCTCCTCGGGGGTAGGCGTCATTGCTTAGTTTGTCAAAGTAAAGGAATTTGCCAAACACAGAAGCTGTATAAATGTTTTGGATACAGCACTTTAGTGATCTGGAGCACACATTCCAGGTAAAATGGAAGAGTAAACTTTATTTACCTCTTAAAATTTGCCACTATGCGTAAAATGTAGATTCAGATGTTAAAAGTATGATTGCAAGATGTCAGACCACTACTTTTCCTGAATGCTTTCCATTTATTCTATGATAGAGTGTCTATAGAATATATTATGGTGGATGTTAGATTTTTTTATCTTTACCTTTTTTTGTTGTTGTTGTTATATATACTGCATCAAGCTACCCCTCTTTCAACTGATGGCAAAACACCCACTATGTGTAATGGGATCAGATTTCCCACTCCCAATACTATTATGGCCTTTTAGCGAGAGTAAAGGTCTTATCATCCATCATTGTGTTACTATAGCATGTGCCATATGACATGTCCTGTATCAAAAGATAGCTTATGAAATATATATATATATTCACATATATATCTATCTCCCATGTATAATCCAGTATGGTGGTGACATGTGATAATATTAGTGAATGTTACAGGACAGCTCTAACATCACATTATTAAGTCATATTTGTAAATCTGTAACATGCAATAAAATAGCACATGTTACATCGAGCATTAAGTTCCACTTTCCATTATACGTATGGAATATGCATTTCTGGTCACAGTGCGTAAGTTCTGTATGGTTCACTCATTCCTCTGTATAGTTCCACTATAAATGTCTGTATGAGCTGATGTATAAATCTCTAATGAGCCACTGTGGGCTGTGAAAGGTGAGTTGTGGTAGTGTGAAAGGTGAACTGGCATGTTATGCAAAAGATTATAAGGTAAATGAAGTTTAAACAATATTTTGAAATTCAACTGAACTTAACTGTTTGTTTACATATGCTGGCCAACCGAGGAAGCAGTGTAAAATATTTTATAAATATTTTCCTATAGTAATCCGTTCTGTCGTTTCCGGTTTAAGTGATGTTATTCTAAAGTTGGGTATACACGTGTCCTAGGTATTGGATTATAGCACATTATTCTTTCACAATAACCGTGTGATATAACTGGGGTAGTTTCTCTTCTTACAGTCCAGTCTTTTTTTGTGTCAATGAAAATGCATGCATTGTTCCATGAATTTCTTTGGACTACTGTGAGACTTAACATTTTACTATTGCCTGCCTATAATGATGAATCCAGTTAGGAATGAATTCAAGCTTTTGGATGTTTACATTATTTTCCATTATGTTTGATCTCTAAGCAAAAGAAGCTAATTTTTTTTAATTTTTTTTAAATGACAATTATATTTTATGAAATTGAGACATTTAGTACAAAATGCGAACCTACAGCAGTTCTGAGACATTTGGCTCTCTCTTTTTTGGAAGAGACAAGGTGCTACATTACTGTTCTTAGCACAAGTGTCAGTTAACCAGTGGCAGTGAGGAGCTAATTTCAAATTACAGTGAACTCTGAAAATGTCCAGTCATGCATATAAGGAAGTCACTATGGGTTCCAGATATAGGTTGCTTTTATTTTTTATTTTTCCATTTGTAGATTTCTAGTGAAAACAGATTTGTATCTTTGGTGGAACAGATACCTCTCTTTATCTGGGGATAGATACCTTTGGTGAATTTTTTTGTAAGAAAAGAAAATTATTTGTTTCTTATAAACTGTCAGCTTTACAAGTAATTGCTCAAAAAGAGTGCTGTTTGCAACACAAGGCCTTAGTCCAATGACTGCAGTTAGAGCAAACAAATATCTCTGTCCTGAAAGCAAAATTAATCAAGGGTATTAGTTTGGAGTGAGCCAGTGAAACAAAGTTTTCTCTAAACTCATGGTGCAAATTTTATAAACAAGAATAAAGGTCTTGTTATGTTGCTCAGGTTACATACTTAAGAGGATTCAATAACCACATGTATGGAAAATGTGAATTTCTTCCTAGACTTCCCTAAAAGTACTTACGCAGTTGTGATGTCTCTCTCCTGCTTAAATATAATAACACATTTGCATTTTTGCACAAAAAAGCACATCAGTCTCAACAAAGACCACATTCTCAGTTTAGTTAAAAGATATCCAGCATAGATCATCTCTTTCAAAAGAAATGGAAACACTTCCTTGCATAAATTTTCCTTCATCCGCCTCACATAACAGGACAGTCCAAATCAGGCACAAGCAAATGGTCTTTGCCGGGGTATCTCCTTGCCTAAGGAAACCCTCCACTCTTCTGCAGCCGATCCACTGGCCTGGCCACACTTGTGCATGCGAGCACCAGTGCTGAATTCGAAGAGACTGAGTTTCTGCAGACCCGTGAAAACTACGATTTCGGCAGCTGGTCACAGGAGAACGCGGAAGGTCACATCCTCCTCAGCCTCCCAGGCTGGCCACCACTCGGGTCTCTCTGTTGCTGCTGCAGCTCTGCAGAAAACCCCTTGATTTCAATAGAGTTGCCCTGATTTTTGCCAGAGGACTGATTTACTCTGCATTTCTAGCTATGTATTACTTTGAGTCATGACACATTATCCTAAATCATCATCAAGTGGGCGGTCTAATGACTGAGCCATTGAGCCAGACTGGTTGTAAAACAGTCTCTGACCTTTTAATTTTTGCCTTATGTGATTCTCTTTCCAGATCTATCATAGAGCCACAAAATACTTGTTTCAAAAAGCTATTAGAAAAATACGTTAGATTATGAAAGTGCTGCTGTTTCTGCTG